AGATCCTGGAGCACCGGGGAACTTCCAGAGGACTGGAAAAGAGCTGATGTGGTTCCCATCTTCAAAAAAGGAAAAAAAATAGATCCAGGAAACTACAGAGTCATGGATGATACTTTGTGGTTTACTGGTGTTGGCCAGGGCATTTCATCTGACTACACATGCATTGCTATAAACACATTAGTAGTATTAATATATCATTATAAAACATTGTTTTTAATGCTGTTAGCAATTGGCAAAATTAACATTTCTTTAGGCTTTGGGGGTGTTGCTTTGTATCAGTTGAGATAAAAGCAATTTAACAATCAATGATTTCAACAGAACAGTAAAAGCAAGATATATCTGACATTTCCCTGCTATTTCAACATTATCAATGTTTTATATTACAGTTAAGGTTTTCTGATAGAAAAATGGAGTTGGTCTTCTTTCCTGTTACAATATTATCCAAAATCTTCTTTGCATTGTTTGCTTTTTCTCATTCTACGACATACTGCATATGACCCCTAATGTTCCCCTTGTATTTTAAAGTCCCTTAAAATCATCTAAACATTAGTAACATTTAGTTTACTTAAAGTAGAACAAAACAGCAAATTATCATTATACAGTTAAACTCACGTTATTACAGTCCAATTACATTCTCCGTCATAAATCTTAAAATTTTGATTTCTACCTGCAAACTGAAACCATGTTTTTTGCTTATGACACTTAGTGCATTATTCAATTTGATATGTGCTGAGCAAATGATGCATTCTGTAGACTAGGGGTGTCAAAGTGGCGGCCCGCGGGCCGGATGTGTCACCCGCAGGCCACCTCCGCAAATGGGGAGAACGTCCCGAAACATCATGTGACGGCAATGTAACGCCACAAGTTTGATATCCGTGCTGTAGATAGTCAATAGGGACATGCTCCCTTCATTGAAACTCTTCTAGCTGAAATCTTCAATAATGTATTCTTTCTTCTTTGCCTCCATCTGCACTTTCTTCTCGTTCTTCTACCTCAACCTTATACCTTTCGCTACATCAAAAAGAGGCTTTCTCCACTGCTGGGTTGAAGTGCTATCCACCATCCTTGAGTCAGCAAAAACCTATATTAACACCAAATCTGCTGAGTTGTTGTCATTCCAACACTGTCCACGGACAATCTCCAACTTTATACAACCTATTAGGCTTTTTCACCTCACTGCCTTGGAGGAAAACAATTGCAATGTTTGAAAGAAGAGGCAGACTACTACGATGCAAAGTGTTGGGATCAGGGAACTATTGTTATTTTTATACCGGTAGAGTTTCAAAGATCCTCTGATTCATGTCATGTGGTCACGGTAGAAAAAAAAAACGTGTCATGCTTGTGTCACAGTTGAGTGCATATAGGGAAAGGCCAAAGGCTTTAATCTACATGGTCGCAACGGGAAAGAAAAATACATAAGCTATGTATATAAATAATGAAGAATGGCAATAAATTGCCATCTGTGAAATCAATTGTGAAATCAACCCTGTTTTTCCTGCAAACAGAAAATAATTGAGGAGAAATATAAGCAGAGGATTACCGATGGTGTGTGCCTGAAGATGGTGGGTTTTTGCAGCCTCCTGCTTGTGTGAGTTGCTTACACATACAAGCATCCATCTTTCTCTTATGTTTTTTTCCCCCCTGACTTCTCTAAAGTCATCTGGCATAGAGATATCACCAATTCTCTTTGTGGACTGTAGAAACTGAACCCCATATGCTCGGAAACCTATTCTTCCACAGAGAAACTCTATCCCAAAGGTGCTTTTTCAAGAGGCAACTGGACTTTCTGGTTTTTCTTTGAAGATGTTTCGCTTCCCGTTCGAGAAGCTTCTTCAACTCTGACTGGGTGGTGCGGAATGGAAGGATTTATTTAAATAAATAATTTGAATCCTTCCATTCCCCACCATCCAGTCAGAGCTGAAGAAGCTTCTTGGATGGGAAGCAAAACATCTTCAAAGAAAAAACCAGAACGTCCAATTGCCTCTTGAAAAAGCACCTTTGGGACAACCGTGGCCTGAATGACCGAGAATCTCCATAGACATCTATGAATTCTAATGAAATGTCCAAGTGCTCTAATAAACCTCTTTTATGATTTCAAGGGACTAATTCAGCAGAGGGCTCCAGTTCATAACATCCTAAAGAACATTACTCGAACACCAGTAGAAATAACACACAGTTTAATGCAGTATAATTTTCATCTGAAATGGCTCCAGAAAGGCCAGTTGTATTCCTAAATGAAGAAATTATTTTAAATGAAAGCACTATTGTAACGTAGCATCAGGCACCTAGTTAAGAAGTTATTCAGGACTCATCTTCTTTCTATTGCTTAGTCTATTAAAAGTTATTATTCACTGATAAACAGGATAGAGCATGAATAAAACAATTCATTTACTCCTGAAAGTAATAAAAGGACCACAAAACTGGTCAGTATTCTTATTCAATGGATAAACGTAACAAGAATATGGAAGAGAAGGATACAGTAAGTCACCTACGCTACATCGATGGCCATTTCATTTCATTGCTTATTTCATTGCGATTGCCATTAAGAAGAAGCCATACATTCCAAAAACTCGTGACATATACATTGGCAAAAGCCGTAAACCATGAGAATAACAAGACTCGAGGGAACCAGGCTGACAAATACTACCCCCAGAGTGACTTTCTTTGATACCAGTAAGTAGATCCCCAAAGGCAAAGAACTAAAATACAGCAAGCCTAGCAACCAAACTAGGACTCAAATGGAAGTCTGGAAGAGTAAGGAGGTACAGTTCCACACTGTCCAATGGTGGGGTACCGATGCCACAGAATCAAAACTTGTAGGCCTGTAGAATTCCACCACTGGGGTGGAGTTCAGTGTCGGGGGATTCTCTCTTTGTACCTCCATGATGGTAATAACCAGACAGTTGGAGGAGGTGTGGGAAGGACTGACAAGGGAGGCCAACCTTTTGGGAGTCAACAAAAGTTCCGTAGGGTTGTCTGGTAAGCACTTCTTCACCTTTCCTCCATAAGCCAAATTGACCAAGATGTTGTTATCGTCTGGAAGGCTACTCACCTCGTCATCAGGCAGGCATGTTTCAAACCTACAGAATGGACAAACAATGACTCCCTGAGGAGATTCCCCAAAGTCTATGATCTTGCAAAGGCATTTGGCACATACTCTGTGGCAACACTCCAGCACTTTAGGTTTCCTCTGCCTCAGGTTATAGCGGTTGTAGCAGATTTTGCATTCAAGCTCATCTGAGCCCTGGGACTCCACGTTATCTTCTGCCAATAGGCTTGTCATTTCTTTTTAATATGCTGTAGACTTCTGGAGAAGGATGTCAGCCAAGCCCTTATCTTATTTGAAGAAAAGTAAATATCCGAAAGAATAAGATTATCACATCACTTATATCCACCCAGGTAAAAAGAAGCAGCGATGGTATTCGATCATATTTATCTGCTTTATTCTTCAGTGTCTTTTTAAATGTTCATGTTCTAAATATAAGATGAAATTTCTGCAGAGATTAAAAAAAAAAGAGAGGCGTAATTAATGGGAAATCCTTGCATCTTTATTCGAAATCTTGCAAAATGTCACTGAAATACTTTATTTTGCAATCTTATACTTCATTATTGATTGTTTTGAGAGTTACAGTCTCAACCCATAAGATAAGGAGAGTTGGGAAAAGCAGATAAAACAAAGCTTGTTCTGAAAAAACATAATACAAAGGAATGTACTATGGCATATCTTGCATATGGGCTACAGATATAACTTCTTAATATTATAAAGTTATAATAAACAGCTAAAAGGGAACCATTTCAGGGAGAAAAGGGATCGGATCCAGCTCATGTCCCAGCAGAATCAGGAGCTGTGATTTTCTTTTCTTTTGCTCTAATCCAAAGAAATAACATTCCCCCCCTAAAAAGTTAGGGGGAAGATAAATAGATAAAAATCTTCTATCCTGTTTCTTCAACACGATTATCTATGCCACGGAACATTTATTTTATTTATTAGATTTATAGACTACTTGATTCTATTCCGAAGACCTGTATGCTTACGTTTTAGCAACACACCATCTATTTCAGTGATGAAATTCTATTTTTGTTTACTATTGTTTCTGTGGACATGGCTTAGTAGGCGTGGCAGGGGAAGAATACTGCAGAATCTCCATTCCCTCCCCAGTCTGAGGCCAGGTGAATTTCACTCCTGATCTATTTGTTTTGTTTATTTTGTTTCTAGACTATTTAAAACACTTCAGACATTTTCTGCAAGATGTAGAGACAGTCATCAGTTCTCATGAAAAGGGAACCACAGCGATCATATTTACAGAAATATGTTCTTTCGAAAGGCACGTGAGAATACCAGGTTTGGCACCGGAACAGCTTTTACATGATTTTACATTTATTGAAACGTGAAGGACTTCACATTTATCAAAGGGAGCAAACAGGCAGGATTGAGGGCCTCCCCCAGCAAATTGTCCCTTGGTCTACCATCTGCTTCACTAGATTATCTGATAATGGTGTTGGTACTCTATGCCCAACCAATGTGAATCTCTTGTTGCTTTATGCATCTTCACATTAAGAGCCGCGGTGGCACAGTGGTTAGGGTGCAGTACTGCAGGCCACTTCAGCTGACTGCTATCTGCAGTTCAGCGGTTCAAATCTCACCGGCT